AAAGCGTTTTTATGTTTGCATATGATACAAAAGAGAAAGAACATCAAAACACTTGAAAATCAGAGTTATAATCGGGGGCTACGCCTCCTCCTACAAATCATATAGCCTCGTGTTCCGGTGCATTTACATTCCGAATAAACACCTGTCTCGATTCATAGAATGCATGTTTTGTCTACAATACTGGTAAGTAACAATTTTTCATCTTTTCTTCAAAATATATGCGTGAAATTGAGCTAAATCGCAAATTTTGCATCTTGAGTATGGAACTTTGAAAAACCTGCAAGGTTCATAAGTATGAATCTATTCAAAGCGATTTAAAGCGGCTCGTACCTTTCGGCCTTTTTCTCAAAATAGCGGACAAATCCTTTTATGATCTAAGCAGTTTCTTTTAACTTATTAAGAACTTATGTGTCATTAAATTACATTTACTTTTATATCAAAATGTAACAAAACATTTTCTCAATTCAGCAAATCATTAAAGCAAACTTTCCAATACACAATCATGTTTTATTTTGGGTGGGTTTTCTTTTTTCTTGTTTGTTTGTTTGTTTTTTGTTTGTTTGTTGTTTTTTTTTTTTTTTTTTTTTTCATTTTTTCTAAATTTTCTTATAACATGCCTTTTTAAACAACACTGTTTTTAATGAATCTTTGTCGTTGGTATTTGCACATATCGCTTCTTGATCATTTTAAATGTCTTAAATAAATAAAATAATTGTGAACATAAAACACATTTTACCATGTTAAACACGGTTAGTAGGAAATCAAGCATAAAGGGGGGCGGTGATGATGGCCTAGAATGGTCGCAAGCCATATTAACACTCATAAAAACTGAAATGCCGGTATACTTCACGACTTTTGAAGTGGCAAAAACATAACAGTTATTATCAAAGTTACAAAGTAAACTGGATCTAAGTAAAGAAACATCATACTCGTTCAGTAAAATATATAAAACATGGTTACTCTTACCGAGCTTAAATCAAAACATTTTTTTTTAAATGTTTTGTTTTTCTACGTAGATTTTAGTTGATAGTATTTTTTATGTAAAATACTCAAACGTAATCAAAGTTTATGTCATGGTTATTCATGACGTCATGAAAATATCTTTTTGATATAATTTCTTTAGAATATCTATCAATGTATAGATTGGGAATTGTATGTCAATCCCAAGATTCAAACAGTTTGGTGTAACTTCTATCTAACTGATATTTTTTTTTCTATTTCAAAAAGAGAACAATTAAAAACTAAATTGTATTTGTTTATAGCTTAAACATTTATAAAGGCCTATATTTAGATGCATACGACAAATCGTCCGAGGGTTGGAGTCCAGAACCATTGACAGAGACATCGACGGTCACATTGTTTAAAACATCAACAGCGATTTCCATGGATAAAAGTTACCATGTACAATGTATTAAAAATGTGCACACTTCTTCGTAAAAAGAAATATATGACACAATTTAACTTCTGACATAAATGTTAAGGGATTCCGAGGTATCTGTTTTTTTAAATTTATTTCCTTTCCTTAAATTCTGTCAGTTCTTGTATATGATCCATTCAAATGTATATGGGACTAAAATAGTTCAAAATCAATACTACCTTAGTGACATTCAGTAATATGTTATTGAAAACACTACAAGGTAGACCCCTTGTAGTCCCGCAAATTCCCATATTACCTTAGTTTACTCGAAACTGACTGTATAATCTCAAAACCATTTTACTGAAAAATCGAGGACTGTCTTGACCGTTAAGTAATTATATAGTATTTACTCAATGTGAAAGAATGTAAGTATCAATTCTGAATTTTGTTTGTTTGATTGATTTGGGTTTTACGTCACACTGACACAGTATAGGTCATTTGGCAATGTTCCAGCTTTATTGGTGCAGGAAGACCTCAGGTTTTGACTTCACACACTACATACTATAGGTGGTCACAATATGAATAAATAGTGTCTTTTTTTTTTCTTTTTTTCCAGGAGAGACCAACCCTTACTTGACCTGTTATAGGAAACGCATCTTCCGATACATAGTTTATTCGTTCTTTTATTCAAATTAGACATATTCAGCAAGAATTTTATAGATTTCAATAATTCACTATGGTGAAAATATTTTACTCAAGGATGAAAAAAGTATATCTTTACTCTAAAACGATGTCAATGATATATTTAGACATTTTAGACTGTCATTATGAAACATTACGTCTGGAATATATTTTCAGAGAAATAATTTGATTTACTTTCTTTCTAGGTTAACATAAAAGAAAATCTTTTTCAGGTCCATTGAAATTGTTCTTAAAATTAAAAAAAAAAACTTGTTCTGAATCTAATAGACGTATTGGGTTAAAAATAATCAAATAACTGATAAAAGCACTTAAACAGCTCACAAATAAACTAGTTCAGACTTTTACTTTAACATTAAGAGTGGTGACAAATGTAATCAAAGCTGAAAAATATCAAGCATATAAAAGTTTTATTTGCGAACTTTATTTTTCCCTTATACATGTGTAAGTCAAAGGATGGCATGAAAAAATAAAGCACTTTATAAAGTCTTTTTAAACAAAGCTTGCACAAGATGTTTTTTTCTGATATTTGATGAACATTACAAATCATAATAATTCTCGATTCCAGTTTCCCTCCTAAAACTGTTGCACAACATGACAATATGATGCACCAGCTTGTCCTGGTGAAAATAAAGTGCTATATTCGATACACTTAGACATTGAAAATATTTGTTTCTTATTTCATTACATCGAAAGCTTTATCCTTCAACGAATACGAAATTCCTTAACTAAACAATAAATCCCCAAAATCATTGTATTCTATCTTTGTTATCAAATATGAAAACTGGTGCAGAAAAAAAACTTCTTATGAGAAGTGAAAAATGGATTTTTAATGGGATGTTTATATACAAAAAATATATATACCTTGAGAGGCATAGCATTAGCCTAATTGATAAATTATACTGATTTTCTCCCATTCCCTTAGTATATATAAGACTATGTTTGACTTCAATTATTATATAAGAAAATATAACGTTATCACATTAAAGCGTTTTTTGTGCAAATCATAGATATGTTTCTCTTGATATTATATTGAACAAATGTTAAATGTATAAATAATTTCATTCTAAAATTGTTGAAGGTATAATGTCATACATATTTACATCAGTGTTAAAAAGGTCTTTTTCTGTTTATATTATGTATATCTCACACAGGAACATTTTTAATGTTAATACTACATTTTATACTAACAATTGTAGACTTTATTATCCTCTCATCTTTTTATAGTTTGTATAATTATATTTCAGATAAAAAATAAACTCAATTCTGCTGTTACCAGGCAGGGCAAAATATTCGTTTAACTGAATAAGAGAGGTCATTTACAGCCATTTTCCTCCAGATGTATGTTTCATAATTCAGTTTTAAGATTTGTGTTATAACACTTAACATTGGAGAGCAATAAGTCATATAAGAGAAATAAACCTGGCAAACTTTTAAAACAAAAATACTCTATGAGCCGTAATTCTGATACAAATATCTAACTGGAATATACCGAATATATGTAAAACAAGACTTGCTACTAATCATTCGTGTACACTTGAAATTGCACCAGTAGTTTTTTTAAGGACTAGTCCTGAGAAGTTCTGTTACGGACGGATGGACAGACAGACGACAGAGAAGAGACTCCTATATGTCGCTACTTTATAGCAAGCGACACTAAAATTAGGTTCTAGACTCCATCTCCGTTCTTTATCTTTACTTTACTACAAAAAATGCAGGAAGCCGGATAACTGCAATCCACGGTATAAATATATACGAATATTTATTTTTAGTATGAGTAATAAGAAAGTTACGTCACACTGATACATTCAAAGTGGAATTCCTTTGTTTTTTTACATTCCTCCTCTTGTGAAGATACCAACTTGTAACAGTGCATAAATTCAAGTGATTGCATCTTTGAAGAATATTTTATTGTAATCGAAAACCGAAGACACTGATGAAAATGTAGTTTTCTGAAAGCAAATTCTCACATGAACATAAAATTAGAATTAAAAGTATTGGTTGTGTATTTGTCATGAAGCAGATAGGTTGATAGTTCACGCTTATCATCCCTACGTATAAAAAAAACCCTCAAAATGCTGTTACTAAATAGATGGAGACGATGAAACTAATTTCTCTGTAGTCTTGCCTTTATAAAATTGTATCTTGTTTAGACTCGGAAACTTGGAACATCGCTTGGTCTCCTGTGGGGCGTAATGATTTTCTTGTAATTAAACAATACCAAACTTTAAACTATATATATATGTCCCTTGGCATATCAAAGACTTTGCTAGGGTTTTAAAAATAGTAGAGGTAATGGTTCAAGTCATGGACTAGCCGATGTATCCTTGATAATGCAATTATTGAATTGAACTGCTGTCATTCGAAAAAACATCTGGAAAAAAGTGATCCCTCTGAAGCATAATATACAACAAAATTACATGAAAATTGCAAACTCTGGTTGATCAAGCCTGTACATATGGGAAAGGTAAAAAGTACAAAATCAATATCCCTCACTATCCCTTACACTGGATGGAGATGTTCCAAATTGGCAACATTTAATGTACTAGAATCAATGATCCCGAACGACCAAAACAATATAACAACATTGACGGGAAGTACGGGACACCTTTTTGAGCTTGACACCTGCTTTTCTGAGGCGTTCTGGAAAAGGATGACCCTCGGAAGCACACTAAACTACATAACATAGACATGAACACAACAAGACTGTTAAAGGCGAAACAAAATGTAAAGACGATGCCTTCTTCTTTAAATAATGTAACATTAATGATTATTTTACGAATAATAATTTAAGTTTCCACTGATCTAATGCAGGACCAATTTCAAGAATATATAAATTGTGCTTATCAAAGGTATATGATAAAAGACAAGACAACATATCCACTATACAACACTATTGAAATGCACATTTGGTATTGGACAAAAATATGAATGTTAATAATAGAAATGTTTACTTACAATAGTGGACACGATCTGAGATCGTGCTTAAGTTCAAATTTCACAAATGTCATTGAGATGATTACAGTATGACTGTTATAAAATTGACAAAAGGTAGTACATGTGCGTATTTTATTAAAACTTTGAATTACAAACAATTACTTCTTGTACTTTCGCCTTCCTATTCATACCAATATCATTGTTCCAAACATACTTCCAGACATAATAATTTCATCGTCGTGTTGAAGAGGACAGTATTTGATTAGCTTACCATCAATTTTTGACAAAAACAAATCTTTTAATCTTGATAATACACAATGCAAGGATGTAAAATATTTTACTCAAAACAATAACTCCAGTTTTTATTAACCACAAGAACACATATTAAGACGTTTTATTTATTTTAAGTGTCATCAAACAAAGAAAAATCCTTGCACTTGATAATATATAACGTAATATTCTTATACAAATGTAAATGTATGATTTTCAATTTATATGTTTCTTTTTTTCTTCTGGATTTACATTTCCTTATTGGGTAAGTGTGTTTCTTCCACTTTATCAGTATTATTTAAATTATCCTCTTGTCTGTCATGTCTATACGCTAAGTTAACTCGAGATGCCAATTCTTTATCAACATTTTTTAATGAATAGGTCTTACCCATGCCATGTCGGATGACAACTGGTTCTAGTAAAAGTATAACACTAGCACAAATTAGAACAATGCCGGTTAAGATAAAAGCAGGATACCAGCTTCCGTAATAATCTGCCATCCAACCTGATAAAAACACATGTATGTAATGTTTTAGTACGTTTTGAAATATACAAATTAAGAAAAACAAAACAAAATTAAGAAAATATGAGTGCGTTGAACTATTAACATATATAAATGTGTTCCTTTGGTCCATTGACATTTTGAAAGCTGACTAATCGGTCACTATAATCCTAAGTCATGTGTGCTCTTTCTTATTATAAAGTATAAAATTTGTAATACAATTTAAGTAAAACAAATAGCAAGACTGGTATTTTAGGTAAGAACTCAATAAGTATAATAATCTGTATTCTCAGAATAGGTGAAATATACATATTTACTATACATAAAATGTTTTATGAAAGTCAAAGCTTGTTAAAGTTCCGGGTTAATATGTTATACCTACCTGCTATAGGCTGGCAGATCAAAGACGGAATTGACATAAAGACAAATATGATCGAGAAGGCTGCTGGGAAATTTTCCATGCCCACTCTTTCAATCGCTAAGACTGATATAAGGGCAAGGTATGACGCTGGAAACGCTGCCGCAACTCCGGCGTATACTGCCATAAACGTAAAAGAATCGAACAGTGGTGATATCAAAGCAAACACTCCTCCAACAAACATACAAACTACGAATATATATTTCTTTTGAATAATATTCAGATCTGCAAACCATCCTACAACAATCCTTGCGATCAATTCTGCACCACCAGTTATAGAAACACCTATCGTAATATAAGTGTTACTATACCCAAGTGCTTTTATATGGGCAGGAATTAAAATGTAATTGCTTATGTGACCAAATGTACAGACAGTGAAAGCTATAACTAACAGTGTGAAACGTCTGTTCTTAAACAAAGAAAAATTTAAGTTAAGTGCATTGCAACATTTTTTCTGGTTTTCATCAGTTTCACCCGAAATGCTTTCTTCAATTCTTGCCTGTTCATTATTGCTTGGGGGTGGTTTGTTTGGCTCCCGAAATAAACAGCCTGCCACACAAATGTTTGAAACGATTGCACCTATCACCCAAAGTGCTTGTGATAGACCATATTTGTCAATTAAAAACCTGTAATGAAGACGATTTCGAGGAATAATAATATATTAATGAACAGTCGTCATTATTAACCTGAATATTATTGGTAGCATTGGTTCTTGGTGATTACCATACTTTAACATGTATATGATACACAGACAAGAATTACTTTATCTATTGTAAATTTGACAAATGCTTGACAAGGATTTCTTTAAATCCTACATTCAAGATATGCCGCTGAAAAAATGACAACAGTGGTTGTATAAAAGCGGCTGCTAATGTTAAAAGCAATGAATTTATCATGAAGCCGAGATAGAGAATGACTCTATAGTTAGTATTATTCATGGCATAAGGAGAATGTACCTATATCGGATAAATAATTACGAAGTTAAACACAACAGACTTTTAGAGATGTATTTAAAAAACACTTTCGTTGGAAAGAAATACAGTTGAATTATTTACGAAGTACCTGTAAAGGGATGGGAACGAAAGAACAGCTATCCCTCCGGCTGATACCATTACGCCATTTGCTAAAGTTCTTCTTTTCTTGAAATATAAGCTGATAATAATGGCAGCTGACACGTATGACAAACAATATCCGATACCTGAAAAAAATGATTTAAACAGCAAACATGTTTCATAATACACGTTCAACTAATACATATATTTCTCTTTTAACTTAAAACACGAACACGGATGTCGTATAGCATTCATCAGTAGAATTACAGAAGTTCGTCGATTATTGATAAATTTGTAGATTTGTACATAGATGGCATATTCTTACTGCTAAAGGTCTATAATTATCATTGTCAAATACATGTATTGTGATAAGTGAAATGAAACGTCTTTGCTTTATTTGATTTGTTCTTATAAATAAGATATATCTTAAACATACCAATAATTGTAAAGGTTAAGTACATAAGCTCAATTCGAGTTACAAATCCGGACAAGAAATAACCACATCCGACCATTAAACCACCAACAAGCGAAACCAATCGGAAGGAGTATCTTCTGCATAGAAAACTTGCCAATGGTGCTGAATAACAGATTTTCAAAATGTTACATTATGCAGTTAATAGGAAATTATTTCATATCTGGTATGTCTGTGAATATTACGTATTCATTGTTAATATTTTCTCATTGTTGTTTTCTTTAATTTTAGATTTTGAAAAGAAAATAAAACGAGCGAAATTGTCAAACATTGTTTTTCAGTCAACATGTAAGAATTATGTTTAAACAAATTTCAACGAACCAAGGACCTGTAAAAGAAACCAGGTTATGCTTCCTATCCAAGCTGTATTTCCGGATCCTGCCGAGAAATGATCCAACATCTCTGTGTACAACACACCAAAAGATTTCAAAGATCCTAACCCGAGCAGGTAAATGATAACACTTCCTACAAGTAAAAAGAAAATTGATGTTACAGTTATATTTATATACACAATATATTCATTGAATCATTCATCATTAATAAATTAATTTGGTCTTCTAGCAGGTGATTTAGAAGTATTGTGAAATAATCTTTAAACTAATAATTGGTGTTAAAAATATGATAGACAAATATATATCAATGTTCAATATGTAGTCAAAAGCAAAATTGGTCTAATTCGTTTGTTATCAAATATTTACATGTGGAATTCATAACATAGAATATGTTTATTGTTATAAATTCTTAAGTTCTGTACTTTACAATTTAGAATTTCATTGTAACTACTGAGATACTGGCACAGAGCAAAGCGACAAGATAAAAAGTCTAGTTTTATTTTTAAGAAAATTTCAAAGACAATACATTGTCAAACTTTACTGCAACTATTGAATACTTCATATCGTAAGCATACTGAGGAAGCTTTGCTCATCTCATCTGAAAAATATTAAGTACCCCTAACAAAAGTAAAATGTTAAGAACGTATTGCACGTTGACAAAGAAAGAGTGTTTGTCTTGAGAAGTATTATTTTATGATTTGCAGTATGTAAACTGAATTTTGGAGGTATACATGAAGGTTAAACAAAGACAGAAGAATACATGCATTTTGTGATGAAATAGCATCGAGAGTCATGATATACTCGAATATAGTACAGTTATATCTGTAATATCAATATCAAACTATATGACCAAATGTGGCACTGTTCAAATGATGACCATTTTAGTATTAATACTTTAACACGATTATAAGAAAACTTTGAAACTAACAAAGAAAAAAGTGTCCACTATGTAAGTTAGAATAGTGTAATGGAATTTTGTTGTGTAATACGATTGGAAAGTAACTGATAGTATTGTGATACAATCTTGTTGTAAAGTTAAGACTGTTGTGAAACACTTTGGTTTTCCAAGTTCCAATCATAATTATTACTTTTATAAACTATTCTTTCTAAACATCGTAAGTGTCTTATACTCAAGAGATAATTTTCGCACCACGTGGTTTATCTAACAAATGGCATGTAAAACAATTAATTTGGTTGTCAGCTTTGAAATAATGTAAATTGAGATTTAACTAGAAAAGGGTTCTTCATGTACTATTATTTGTGACTATATGTTTCTGGAAAAAAACATTATTGTCTGGCAATATAGACTTACCATTCCTTTTGCCAATTAATTAATTAATTAAGTAACAGAATATCGTAAATAATGTTGATTTCGATTTCTTAAGAAATGATCATGAGCAGGCATGCCTGGTCGAACATGTAAATGAATTATGTAACAAATAATTTTAAAGTTAACCAAACAATATAATCCACGCATATCCCGTGTCCATGACTTGTTCTGTTTTTGTTTCATGTCTGTCATTCTTCCTTGCGTTCTCTTCCGGCATATTTCTACAAATCAAATTGTATGAAAGTATGTATCTGTTCATTTCGGAAGTAAATATGTGTTAATTGCATGATCATAGCAGCATGTACTTCTAATGAAATACAGTTTTATAGATAAAATATGCACAGCAGTCTATGCAGTTTCCATGAGATAACCGTAACCTTATAGTTATGTATTTCATTTGACACAGATATTATTACACCCGTTAACGTGTAGCGTGTAAAACAGTTTGATGCAGGTAGAACGAAGTATATAAATGTCAGTTTTAAACCGGATTACCAAGATATATTTGTTTGTATCTTTTTAAGACATAATTTCTATGATATAATACGCAGAAATCGATTGCAGGATAAAAGATTTACCAAACGCACAATTGTTTTTCTCGCAACAAATTGATTTTCTTGCATTTAGTTTATCGGATGTGCTAATAATTTAAGTCGATATTTACAAAGTAAAACGTTGCAACGGTTTAAAAAAAAACAGAAGGATAAACAATGCAAATACTTTACTCAGATGTTTCTTCATCTGATAAGACATGTGTTAATCATCTAATTTTATCGTTTGATGATATTTTATTATTTTTAAAAAGCCCTAACTACAATGTATGGGATAGTAGCTTTAAAGCATTGCGTATATGATATTGTTTGAACAATTATAAGAAACGTCTTTGAAGAGTGATGAGTATGAGTACCAGTGTAAACACGATCAAAAATATACAACATAATATACAGATAGATCGCCTGATGACATTCCTGACGGCTAAAATTTAACATGTTTATGAAAGTACATGAACCAAACATGAAACGCGAAGTATGATAACATCTGTAACAACTGTTCACACTTGTCCAGAGCTTCATTGAAGCATCAAAGCGTTTCGATTCATAATTCCCGACTCAGCGTTTTAAACATCGTAATTCCATGACAAACTGTGTGACACAACTTTTTTTATTGTTATTATTATTTTTATTTTCTTCTTTTTTTATTAAAAGGGAAAATGAATTAAAAAAAAAACAATTAATACTTTTCGAAAAAATTATTGATTTAGATCAATTTTGAACTTTAAAACATGCACTGATCATATAAAGTGAGATAATAAAGACGAAACTTCATCATGGAAAGGAATAATTATAAGTGATATGCTTGTTTTCCGATACATATATATTGTGATGTAAAAATGTTACATGCTTGTTAAAAATAATTGATAAATAAAATATGCTAAAAGTAACTGTAACAAAATAACATATATGCATGAAATTAAAACGAGCGTTTAACAATATTTTCATTTATATTAAGGAATGATTTTATGCAACCCATTCATTAAATGTTTCAATGTCAATTTCATGATAACATTGAATTTATTTATATTTATTTATTTGTATTCGGCAATAGTGATCAATATCTTTGTAAATGAAGTGATGAAGAGTAAAATAGGCAAAGAATGATACTTCTTTCTCAATAAAAGTTCTATGACATTTAATACATAATCTGTGTTTTTACCTATATTTCTTACTTGAAAGTTTAGCATCTAAACCTTCAAATACATAAATACATTTAAACTGTCTGTGTTTATTATTTCGTATTAAATGCTTTATATACTATGTGACAAAATCTATTGGAGCGATAATATGTTTGGTAACATGGTATAAAATTAAACCTAGACACGATGCAACATAATATTATAGACGTACAGAATAATTGAAAACGATGAGTTTTTTGTCATTTCAAAAGATTTGTTTTCGTCTATGATACGTAGCGCATGGCTGAACATTACTATATAGTTTTTCATATTCATGTTTTCCTAAACAGTGGATTATAAACTTTACTACATGGCTAGTATTAAAAGGTGACATACATAAAATGAACCTCCAGATAAATGTCAAATCAGTGGATGCTTGTATTTTCTAAAACCAATGATTTTTTGTTTGTTTGTTTTTTGTTGTTTTCTTTTTTGTCATTTTACATTGTCAAGTCGATATTTTTGACGTTACTGTGACATATATTAACATATATTGCGTAATCAACTATATTTTGCAAGAAGTGTTATGCTATATATAGAAGAGTTAAAGAAACTACACTATTTCTTACAGTAGTGAACTACGTTATATAAAAATAAGTTGATCAACATCTAATTTTATATTTGCTACTACTAGATATAATTACTTGGGCTCAGCCCATGTAAATACAAATATGTTACAAAATGTTAAAGTTTCATAAATGTACTCAAACAATTATACATCTTAAGTATTGTTTCGCCTGATTGGTTTTGAAATAATAAAAAAAAACATATAAAGAAATCGATAACTCACGTAAATAGTGTCTGCCGGGAACTTTTTTTTAAAGATTTTCAGTTATAACAATCTAGTAAAACATTATCCAGTGTAATGTAAAGATTAACAACTTTGCTAGATATAAACATCGGTTATTAAAACATACGAAATTAGTTTTTGCTTCAACAGTTTTGCTTCAACAATTTCATTTAAAATTATATTACTATTGAAGTAAAAAACGCTTCGGAATAAACCGTTCTTTGCACGTACGTGGCAAAGCACATCAAAGCACTGTAAATGATGGTATAAGCGAGGCCACATGAATTAGATATAATAATTATATTATATAGAAGCCTAATTATTTTTATGCATTTTATGTACAAAGGTAAAAATTGCCAGGTCAAAAAAACTGTTTAAGATTAACTGTTTATGGAATCAAATCCAAACTGGTATCATTTCAATTTCCAGATAATAACATATATCCGGGAATATGCACCATATTTCAAATGTTCACGCTTTTCCTTTTTTACTTTGAGGACATCACCGTCCTATGGCATCGCAGGGAACGTGCAACAGTATCGCGCTATTTGGGTTACAGTGTAGAATTTTAAAGATGGAGGATTATTTGTGTGGAAGACAGGTACGTGATTTTTATTTCTTAAAGATGTTTTGTGCTTTGCTTGTAAGGAACTCGATCCGGTATCTAGTCATATATTTCTTCAGACCCTGCACCGCAGTATCATCTCTATATTGTGCTGATTTGACAGATTGAACGTTCGAATCATGAGACAAACGCATTTTTCTCCAATTACGACATTTTTTAAAAATGCCAACAAAAAGTTAATCTACAAAACGTTAGTCCTTTTTGCTTAGAAACGTTTATAAAAGAAAATGACAAGTTGAACCTATTTTCCTGTTTCGGTTACAGCTTAGACCTCGGTCCTTTCTATAATGTTTGAATGATACATATACTTTTAAATCTCAACTCAACTGATGAGCTTATTTGCCCTATGGCTATTCGTCCGTCTGTCGTACACATGTGTATCCAATGACATCCGCTCAGTATCTATTTGACCAAATTGACGAAATTACCACGAATTTCTCCAAAAGTTGTTAAATGGTTTCGGTTGCAATCTGGGATACGAAAACCAAAAATATAGATTTTAAAAAGGCACTGTTTAAAAACCATTCTTCTCCCAAACTAAAAAGCATTCGCTTATTAGCATTCTAAAGAAAGCATTTTCAAATCATGATCCTGGCGCCATTTTGAATGTTTCTTTGTTAAAGTGGGGATTATTTTGTCATTAATTAATTAAAAATTGATTTTTTACCGCTATTTAATTGTGTCATTTGACAGCTTATCTGTGGTATGCAGGCTTCATAACCCCCGATCCCCTTTCAAAATTCCATTTTAGTTAGTTTCACCCATTGTTTTCTCGTTTAGGGAACACCAATTTTTATCCTGGGGAACAATATGCCGCTTTTCATGGAATGACACATGTCACAATGAAAGTTCCATGATAACTGCCACATGAACACATCTACAGATGTTTAAAAGATTCTAAATTTTACCGGTTTATGTTAAATGTTGAATGCTCCTTAAGCCGGTGCTTTGAGGCGTGGACGGTAGCTTTAGTTACCACTACCGTCCATGAACAGATTCAATCAATCGAGCCTGCAACATTTTCAATTTTGCCGTGTGGGATTTTCTTTATGGATTCTGTTTTCTCTGTCTAATTACTAATAGGCATTATAACGTGTTATGGAATCAAGCAATAATCTTTCTTCTCTCCATACAATTTGATAACAGTACTGGTGTTGCTGTGAAAACATTCCCTACATAGGACATTGCTTATTCTGCAAAAGTCTCAATCAGAATATAAGTACTTAAATAAAGGGAAAAAGCAAACTGTAACTTTTCTGCTGAAAAAAATGTAATACAACCCTTCAAGAATATATACAAATATCTAAACTGTATCCAAAATCTGGGTGTATACTGTAACAAAATCAGATCGAAGCCGCTCGGTCTATACTGTAACCTACAAATTCACCTCGCTCAATACTGTAACATTGTTTATTTTTTCAAACGCATTTGACGAACAGGAAAAAAGGTTCAACTGGTCATTTACTTTTATAAACGTTTCTAAACACAACGGACTAGTTAACGTTTTGTAGGTTTACTTCTTGTAGACATGCTTAAATAACGTCGGAATGAGAGAAAAGTGCATTGGTCTTTGGATTCAAATTTTCAGTCTGTCAAATCTGCACATTTATGAGCAAATAGAGAGATAAATCTGCGATGCAGGGTCTGAAGACAAAGATACAGGATCTTGAACATCTTTTAGAAACTAAAATACTTGTAGTATGAACCGGAATAAAAATTACTTAACTGACCTCCCCACAAATAATCCTAAATCTTGAACACTCTATACTGTAACTAAGGAGCGCGATACTGTAACACGTTCCCTACGGTGTATAGGTCGTAGAAGGAACGTCCCTGCACTTTTTTCAGGAAATAAATAACTTGTCTACCTGCATTTCTAACGCTCTTTTGAATATAGTAATTTCTACTTCGTAAAACAGAGAAAAATAAAGAATCCCTAAAGAACGCACAAAGTGACAAAATTGTAAATGTTGCAGGCTCGGTTTGATTGAGCCTGTTCATGGGTGGTAATGGAAAATGCATGTTACCGTCCAAGGCCTCTAGCACAGGAAAACCGAGAAACGCACCTATGACAATACAATGTTAAAAACGTAAATCTGTGACACGACCCCAGACTCACCCTTAGAATGATTGCCTTCATAAGTTTAAAATCAAGCTATGTCCCTTGAACATGTCCTTTTTGGTCGTATTCATATTATTGTTAGAAATAATCCATATAACTGTTGAGTTAATGTCATGCTTACACTTCAAATGCTATAAGTCTATTTTAAAATGAAAACAAGAAAAGCATTGATGCAAAGCATCAAAGGGCGTCCAAGCAAGAAATGCAGCAGGTGTAGATGAACTAGTAGATATATGATGACAAGATATTCTTATAAACAGTTAAAACTGTTCAATGGTTCATTGGTATATCACTTATGAATGAACGAACGAAAGACATTGTTCATTATCTATAACTTTGATTGGCATGCTAGAAATTAAAAGATTACTTGTTATTTCTTTATGATCGTGGTTATTAATAGCAACGGATATACATGTATACAATCATTTATAATCCATATGAGTAACGCATGATCAACACCACACTTGTGTAATTGTCCCTTATTATGTTATCGCTATTAGCGAAGACCCCCTCTTAAGGTATCTGTTCACACTTAGTAACAATATGACACTTGTTATATTACCTTGTTGAGCATAAATGTTTATTATACACTAATTGTAATATCTTTTTTTAATAAAAAATACAGATTTTATGAATATTGTTTTCTTTTCTTTTTAGTGTTTGATGCACTATTTTAATACTGAGTTTTTACGTTTACTACAGTACTCATTTTTTATTAAAATTGTAAAATAAATTTTAAGAATTCAATTGTCATAATGACCGACGATTAAAGGTCAAAACTTAACTGGAAAAAGTCAGTAAAATATTGTTAATCTTTCAATATATAATATTGTTTATTCTTAAACCATATACATGTACATTTGTTTTTTTCTTTATCATTTTTTAAATTATCAATCAATTGAATAATTCATAAAATCTGATTTGTAGCTTTGAATAATTCATCGGCATCTTTACTAAACACGAATAACAAATTAAATAAAATGTTTCAAAGTTGATAGTGTCATATTAATGCCATAAAAATGTACATTTTTCTCAATTATTGTAAATATTTATTGTTTTTATCTCATATAAAAATATATACAGATAAAATAAAATATGCGATTTGTGTTTTTTTTCTTCCGAATTGTACGTTTATGTATAATAATAATCAATAAATTTGAGAGTTGATCTGTGTTTATTAATAATTGTAACCAAACTAAGTGACAAACATTCATTTTGAAAAAAAAGTTTATTTATCTGTAAAATATTTGTTCTGTTCTGTAACGATATCAAACATCTACTCCAAAACCGGGAGATACCGGACAATAAACGTGTGGTACTATTCGCCGGTCGTCAAAATAGACCAGGAGAGACCGGGAATTACCTACAGGAGTACATCCCTCTATAAATAGATTTTCGGAATATTTAGGTCATCAACTCATCATTCTATTTAACAGCTTTCGGAATAACATACCATAATAACCCACTGTGTACTACAAAATGATAAATAAAAATATCCCGAAGAGCGCGATTTATTGACGGAAAAGGTTATTTAATTTGAAAATGTTTGCATTGCGAAATTCTCCAGTTCGCCATTCATTGTACATATCGCGACTAGTTAATAATCAAGCACCCTCATACCGATCGGAATGATCGGCTTTTATTATGAACAACTATAAAAGGCTCGAGAAGTTGCTGTCGCCCTTTCACAAAATCTGATTTCATTACATAAAAGGCGCCGCGCTTCGGCGCGGACGCCAATAAACATCGTTCACATACACACAGAGATGATTATGTTACGTTTTTTGCTCTACATGCGACAGTTTAACACAGTGCCATTTAAAAAAAAGCTAACAGTCGTATGGTTATATCATAGGGAGTGCAGTTTGCCAAACATAGTTTGTGCAGTCTCTTATTTAAATTAGACATACTAAGTACGAATTGCAATAAAGGTATTGTTCACAAAGATAGGTTGGTATATATTTAATAAACACATCTTAATATATCAAAACGAGTGATCAAATGATCATGTATTTCACGTTTACATGTATAGCCTTTTATTCGAAACTTGTATAATAATGATATTTTTTTCATACCACTGTGCTGGAATACAACATAACCAAAATATCAGTAAAATGTCAGTAAAATGTGTTTATAAAACTACAGTAAGCAGGAATGTAATTTAATTTGTGTCATGAGCAAGCTGTTGTAGAAGATTGTTGTTGTACGAGATCGTGCTAAATACCGTTATCACTGAACAAAATTAATACTTTATTCATTGCTCAATTATGGCATTCATTAATAAACTTTACTTTGAAATTATGGCACTTTTCGCACTGAGAAATAGTCATGGCGGCGTAAAAACGTCGATAATTAATAATATTTCCATTAAGATGCATTTGACAACAATATCCTAATCATTATCGTAAGAAGACAATTAGGTGGCGCCGCAACGAAAGCATGACGAAATGGT